AGAGAAAGACATGTATCATATCTCACTGATTGAGGAATTCTTAATCTCAGGAAACAAACTGAGGGTTACTGGAGTGGTGGGTGGGAGGGATGGGGTGGCTGGGTGATAGACAGTGGGGAGGGTATGTGCTATGGTGAGCACTGTGAATTGTATAAGACTGATGAGTCAGACCTGTACCTCTGAAACAAATAATACATTATATGTTAAAAAAAAAAAAAAAAGATAGCAGGAAGGGAAAAATGAAGGGGGGGAATCGGAGGGGGAGACGAACCATGAGAGACTATGGATTCTGAGAAACAAACTGAGTGTTCTAGAGGCGGGGGGTGGGGGGATGGATTAGCCCGGTGACTGGTATTAAGGAGGGCACGTATTGCATGGAGCACTGGGTGTTATACACAAACAATGAATCATGGAACATTACATATAAAAGTAATGATGTAATGTATGGTGATTAACATAATAAAAAAAATAGCGTCTGGATAGCTCAAAAAAAAAGGCACAGTAAGATTAACAAAATGAGAGAATACTAATAAAATAGAACTATAACATACTGTAATAAAAGTTCTGTGAATGTGGTGTGTGTGTCTCTCTCTCAAAATATTTTACTGTGCTGTATTCACCCTTCTTGTGATGATGTGAGATGATAAAATGCCTGCGTGATGAGATGCAATGAGGGGAATGACGGAGGCATGTGATGTAGTCTTAAGTCTACTGTTGGCCTTCTGATCCTATGTCAGAAGGAGGGTCATCTGCCCCAGGACTGCAGTTGATTGTGGGTAACTGAAACTGCAGAAGGCAGCACTGTGGGTAAGGAGGGTGGTAATTATTCAGTACTTTGCCCATTTTTCAGTTGGGTGGTTTATCTTTTATTACTGAGTTTAAGACTACTTTATTCTAGATACAAGTTCATTATCATATATGTGATTGGCAAGTATTTCCTCCCTTTCTGCAGGTTGTGTATTTTATTTTTTTTAAGTAACATAAATGTTTTAAAGTTCAATATTTATTGGGACCTCTTTGTTTGGCAAAAATGTATCCAAGTTTTGGCTGACTAAACACCACAAGGAGTGTAAATAGTGTTCACAGGGTCAATCCTAAACTCCTCATCACAGGGAGCATGAGGACCTAGCAGGAAACAGGCAGACTCTTAAAAGTTACGTGAAACTGGAAAGAGCTAAAGATTTTTAGGAATTCTCGGTCTCACAGCTTTGGCCATTCAGGGAGATAGCTGCCATTTTGTTTTCTTTTACTTTTTTCTTTTATTTTATTTTATTAGGTTATGTTAGTCACCATACATTACATCATCAGTTTTTGATGTAGTGTTCCATGATTCATTGTTTGTGTATAACACCCAGGGCTCCATTCAATACGTGCCCTCCTTAATACCCATCACTGGGCTAACCCATCCCCCCACCCCCTCCGCTCTAAAACCCTCAGTTTGTTTCTCAGAGTCCATAGTCTCTCATGGTTCGTCTCCCCTTCTGATTTCCCCCCGTTT